TATTACAAATAGCTGAATATTTTCCAAACAGAACACATACACACTAACATGGATATTTAATAGTATTATAAATTTATTTATTTTATTTTCAGGATGTTGCTTTGTCCAAATTACAGTCTGATTTGAAAAGTTATGAAAAGAAATTTCTGAACATGAAAATTTTACAGCTGGAACAAAATGCAGTCACACAACCCAAAAGTGTTTCTTTCTCGACCGTTGATGCTGTTTTAAACCTAGACAGACCTTGCACAGTTGAGTCATCAAAGACAAAAGAAAGGTATCACTTGTTCAATACTCAGTCATAAGCAAGGTATTCCTGTATTGCCAAGGATAAAAAACATTCAATAACTTCATCTCATTTAAACATTATACTCTGTCTGGCATAAATTCACTTGACTTAAGGACATACCTCTGGGTTATAGATATGGGCTTGACTTAACCTCAAAAATCTTAACAAAATTGACCTTGCATTAATTAAAGTGCTTTCATTTATGATGCATTAAATAAAATTTATAAATTGGATTTAATTGGGGGCCAGCTGCATAGTAAAGGTTAACTATTGCCAGTGTAGTGAGTTTCAGCCTCACTGGGTGTCATACAAAGTAACTCTATGAAATACTAAAGTAAACTTAGTAAATAGCTTTAAATTGTATTTAATTTATGCTAATATAAGTGTACATATATTTTTGGTTACTGTAAGTTTTACACAGACAGAGTTGGCATGTGAAGGTTCCTGAAGGGGGAAAACTATGAATATCTCCAGCCTTCTCTAAACCTTAACTCTTTATGCTCTTAACTATATTTAACGCTTATACAAAGGACGCTCCAAAAGTAATGCTTCCTATTTATTTCCACATAAATTACAGCAGTCATGTTCTAAACATTTTCAAAACACTCTTTATTTAATGGTTTCTGGTACACATTGCTGTTGTCACTGATAAAATGCATTACCCACTGCTTAACTGTGCTCACATTCACTGTTTGGTCTCTGTAAATAAATGTTCATTAAGCATTACAATTGGAGAAAATTCAATGCTATTTTGACAGCTATTTGTAACAAGGAAAGAATTGTCTTCATTATTCACATTATTTGGACTATTGTCCTCATCTTTGTCACCATATTTATCACACTCCAGCCTTCTTCAGGTGGTTGGAATTTCGAACTGAACCCTTTATTTCGCTCACTGGTAACTAGACTGTTCTAGTTCCATGTGCCATGTTTGATGGATGTCAGTTATCAGTTATTTCCTGCTAATTTTCTCTGAAAGTTCTCCACTGCCTAAACCGGGTATTGAACTCTCACTCTTTGGGTCCTGTCACTGGATCTAACCAACGCCTTGTGTCCTTGAGGACATCTGGTTATGAATTTCTGGGTATTATAAACCTAATGTTCTTCAGCAACCATTTTTACCAGTGTTCATATTGCAATTTTGCTGTTATCATTGCATGTTTTTACCAGAGCTCATATTGCAACTTTGTCGTTATCATTGCTTTTCTCTGGCATTCCTTATTACTGGTTCCCATATTGTATTTATTTCTATGCTTGGTTGGCTCAGGAGATTTTTGTGGCCTAGCATATGGGCTGATTCCTTAAGTTTACGAATTTTCCAATGGTGTTCCTTGTCTATGATCTCAACATGATCCCACAGAGGCGGTGATCTCCCTTCCTCTCCATATGTGGTCAGCCATGCCTGATTTTTTCTACTTCCCTCGTGTTACAGCTTTCTGGTGTTCTTGAAGCCTTACCTTGAGGGGGTGGCCTGTCTCTCCTTTATATTCCTTTCCGCAGCTGCACGGGATAGCGTACACACAGTCTTTAGTCATGTTCTCCTCTATGGGGGGGTCTTACTCGGGAGAGATATCTGCGAAGTGTCGTCAAGTTTTTGAAGATTGTCCTGATGATATATGGACCGCAGATCCTTTGTATTTTCTCTGATAACCCCTTCACATAAGGCAGGCAGACTGTTTTCTGAGTGTTGTTGTCCTCCTCCTCTTGTACCTGCCTATCCCAGTTTTGGGGGGCTGCTGCCATGTACCCAGGGTAGTTGTAGGGTACTACTTATACTGACCAATTCTTTATATAACATATCTGGGTCACCACTTATGACTTTTGCTCGGTGTTGTAAGCAACGGACGATCCCTTTCTTTACGCTGTATGGATGGTAGGAGTTGAAATTGAGGTACTGTTCGGTGAATGTCGGTTTACGGTACACGGATGTCTTGAACCCATGCTCTGTTTGAGATATTAGAACATCCAGGAATGGGAGTGTGTTGTTACTCTCTTTCTCTATTGTCTTGTAGAAAGATTCAACTTCTACTGCCTTACTGTAATAGGAGGCATTACTTTTGGAGAAACTCCCCCCACTTTCTCCATACAATTCAAAAGAATTGGAGAAAAATTTGATATAAAAAATTTATTACCATTATTCTACCATTGTAATAATAATAATAATAATAATAATAATGATCATGAAAGTCATTAATTATTCTTTGCTATTTGAGCAATCATGCTTGTCTTGGTTATACTCATATTGATTTATCCATTGTACTCTCTAGCCTACTTCTCTTATCTGTGCTTTGGTAACCTTCTTGGAATTTCAAACCAAATCTTTATTCAATCAATGAGGATATACTATTCTCATTTCACATTTCATTGCTTAGGGAGTGTTTCATATCAGTTAAATGGGTTTGAATGAATGAAGCCTGTAGGTCTTAAAGAGGAACATATTTCTCTGAATTTCATGAATTGGTTATTACAGAATTACAAACAGGGAATTGTACCAGATAAACAGAAACCATATCACTAAAGGACTTTCAACAACAGCAACAACTAAATAGCATGTGTAACTTTAGAAACAAATCACTTTTGAACCGACTGCTCGGTTGAACTCTCTTCCTACGGACGGGAGGAACCTGAAGGAGGCTCCACCGAAGGGTGGAGTCTCCTTCGGGGAGGTAAACCGGCCCTGAACCCGTATATACGGGTTCAATGGGCATATTTTTGGCCAAGCCCACGGGCTCGGAATGCCCACGTTAAAAAGGCTTTGTGCCACATGACACACTCGTGGCGGGGTGACTCAATATTGTAACTTTAGAAAATAATGACATAATGAAAATGTTGACATTCTGCACCACTTCAAAGAAAAGTTTAGGAAGGAAGCCTTAATCACTAGTGTAAAGAGCAATAACAGTTACTGGACTTGAGAAAAAATTGTTTTAAGAGAAAGATTTAATAAACTCGAGTAGCACTGGCTGCTCAGCAATGAATGCCAAATGTTTCCTTATAAGGAAATGACTAATATTACTAATAGAGATGAGGAGAACTGATAGTACACTTTGATTGCAGCCTAACGTCCCAGGAGTAAAGAAAAAACATAACTCGAATAGCACTGGCTTCTCAGTCAATGATTGCCAAATGTTTCCTTGTAAGGAAACAGCTAATATTACCATTGCCATTACCACTGTGATAACCTTTTGTATCTGTGAAGATGTGATATGTGGAACATACAACAAAACAACATTTGTTTCATTATGTTTCTGTCTGTTGAGGTGTGTCCATCCAGTATGCATCTATAATACCTACTAGACTTTTCATAGATACAGAAAAAAATGTTCAGACTAAAAAACTAATAGCAAGAACCCAGTATTAATACTTACTCTCAAAATATCTGTTCAGTTTCATATCTAAACAAGAACAAAACAATTTCTAAAGAAAGGAATGGATATATATATATATATATATATATATATATATATATATATATATATATATATATATTAGGCAAATGAATGACAAAGTGGAAAAACATGTTTCATCCTCTAAGACTTCATTGGGCTAAAGTAATGTTTTTATTGATGGAATGATATATACAGTCACCTCCAAAAGTATTGGAATGGCAAGGCTAATTCCTTTATTTTTGTTGTTCACTGAAGATGTTTAGTTATAAGGTCAAAAAATGAATATGAGACAAGAGTTCAGAATTTCAGCATTTATTTCCTGGTATTTACATCTGTTAAATAACTTAAGACATACCACCTTTTGTTTGAACTCACCTATTCTTCAACTGAGCAAAACCATTAGCTGACTGACAGGTGTTTCCTTTTGCCTCACTTTTGCCATTTAGATTGATTGTTTAAACATTAAATAGCTCTGAATGACTACTCTTGGTTTTAGCCTTTGGTTTCACCTGTAAAGTTTGCATTTCTTGTTAAAAGGATAAACCAACATGAAGACAAGAGAGCTGTCTATGGGAGAAAAGAATGTTGAAATCCTGGAATTTAAAATCCCAAATTTATAAAATCCCAAAAGATCAGAAATATAAAACCAGAATATGGCAATGCCCATGTTGGTGTTTATCTCATTATTGGAGAGTTTCAAAAAGAGCAGCAGCACATAAAAAACGGACGTGAACACGTTCTCTTGTCCAAAAAGAATAAAATATTGTGATGAAAGGCTTAAAAATATAGTCAACAATCGTGAAAACCAATCAGATCTTATGGACTATCTTAGAGCTCCTGCTCATAATCTTCCATTATAAATTATTCATATATTCTGGTTTCATATTTTTTAATGAATTTTGAATGTTTCAAATGTATAAACATTATTTAAACAGTATTTTGTAAATGTTTAGAAATAAAAGGTATTTTTCAATTTTTTTTCTTTTCAATTTCTCCCAAGTCAAAGGGATTTTGATACAATTGGGATTTAAAATTTCAGGATTCCAAGATTTGGGATTATAACCCAAACCCATATATATATATATATGATAGAATATAATATATAAATTCCTATGCATCAGGACAATGTTAGGCAATTGAATGACAATTACATAGAATTTTTCCAATTTGTCATTCAGTTGCCTGTTATATATCTGCTTGTGTGTATGTGAGAGAGAGAGAGAGATGTATTTTTGATGTACAGAAAGATTTTTTTGTAAAATCCTACTGCATCCATGCATCTGTCATTATGTGTGTAAATTTTTTTTTCCTTTTTGCAGCTCAAATCTGCTTGAAATGATCTGCAAAGAAAAACCAGAAAATGAACTTCACTCAGACACTGAATCTCTTGTGGCCAATTCACAAAAGAAAGCAGGCAATCAAGTTCCATTTGATAAATCTTTTCACAATGTGAAGCTTGATACAACAACACCAGCATTTGAAAAAATCAGAAAAATGTTGGTTGGCCTTACTGCTAGTTTGCCTCTACATGAAGACAGCATTGGGTAAGTGTGATCAATATGATTGTTCTCTTTTTCTTATTTTTATTTACTTCTAGCCATAATTCAGTTGGGTGGCTAATTTTGTTTCGTGGCATATCAACCTATATGGGTTATTATTTAATGCCAAAATTTAAATACTTTGTACACAATTTTTTATTTTATTTTTTATAATGGTTTTAGCAATACAAGTCTTGCTAATTAACCCATAGCTAGGAGGAGACAAGATGGAATTATACTTTTCCAAAAGGTATTTTTACATAAGTGAATATAACGAACCCAACCAGAATTGGAACAGCTCTCTGAACCTAGTATTCCCAAGCAGTTACTCATCTAGGTACTGACCATGTTCAACATTGCTTAACTTTGGATCTGTTGTTTCAACGTGATGTGACCATAAGCCTTTCTAACAATAATGATATTTTTATTACATAATGACCTTTTCATTTACAGTATGACTAAACCGTACTCAGATGTGTGGGTAGTGTAATGGTCACTGGCAGGCTATTGTGTTCACTTTGTGTTAATGCTTACTAGAAAGGTATAAATCCATCTTTTCTATATTCAGCTATGGATAAAATAGCAAAGCAGACTGGGCTCTTTTGCTTTGATAGGTCAATATGAATTCAAAATTGTGAAGAAGACAATGTAAAACTATTGGACTACCTTTCTCAGAATAGTCATGGCAATTCACAATTTACAACTATTAAGGAAAAGCACTTGGCATTTCAACAATCCAAGAAAGCTAAGTATTTCAAACTCTCTTCGTCTTCATATGTAAACCATATATCCCTTCTGTGAGCAACAAATGCTCTTATCTTTGTTTTAAACATTTTTGAATATTATTTTGTATCAGATCATTTAATCTGTTGTATGAACATTTCCTCTTCTCGACAGTTTGTTAAAACTATGGGCCTTAAAAGTTTCTGATTTATTTTCCTGAAATGAGCTATTGACATGTCTTCAAGTGTGTAAATTCATAAATAAATTCCTTATCTTTGTTAAAATTATCTGTGTTTCCTCATCATTATCCTTCATCATTAATCTTTTTGGCATGAGTAAATCAATTGTTCCTTTTAACCCCAAAGTGCCACACCACTATAACCTATATCCTGAAGGGACATGGTTTTAAGAAGAAAAAGTGGCACAAGGCTAAATTTCTGGAGTACCTATCTTATCAACTATTGATGTTTTATGAAAGATCTATTTTCAGTCACTCTTCCTTAGCACAAGACCATGTTCTGAAGCATTTGACATGAGAAAATGGTTAAAAATCAGTAGCAAAACCTGAACTAAGATTTTAATTTTTTATAAAGTATTTGCTTGTATGCTTGTTTGTGAACTAATTCCCCCCTCCATGAATTAGGCCTTCTGTTGAATTTGACTTTGTTTAACAAATAGCTGAGCATCTAAGAGCTCTACAAGCATAAGTAGATAACTGCTTGTTCCATTGAAATGTTATTTAAAAATGTCAACAGTCCCAGTTTTATATATTAAAAACTGAGACTGCCAAAGAAGGAACAAAGAGGTACTGAAACATAAGTATTCCAAAGAAAAATCTTTGGTTTGGTCATGTGATCAGATTTTTGGGAAGTGAATCAGGCCAAGAACTTTTCAGTATCCCCTTATACATACATACATACATATATATATATATATATATATATATATATATATATATATATATATATATATGAAAACAAATTGAATAAAATAGACACTAGGAAAACAGTACTTAGTTTTTGCCAACACATTTCATCATCCAATTTTATCAAGGCAGGTGATGCTAAACAAAAACAAAATGCTGTATTTATTAAAAGAGTTTACTGAGTGAAAAGTTCTTGAAAGTACAATTATTGATACTTTCCAAAATGTTAACTTACACCCCGGATTTGTTCAAATATCTCCTTTCTTAAAACAAACTGCTCTTTTTCTCAATACAAACATACTTATGCATGAGCATAATAATTTTAGAAAATTAAAAGAAAATGGTGAAATCTTGACCTTAAATATTAAAGATGTGTAAATTAAATAAATAAATAAACAAAGAGTAAAATAAAAATACATAAAAATAAATAATATATAAAAGAAATCAACAACATTAACCCACTTTTATTTAATATGCTGAAAAATTATATCAGTTAATGTTCTTTGTAGCATACCTTTCTTTACACAGTAAGTTTTTATAATATTTTAGAGCATTCTCTAATTAATAATTTGCAAAGTTAACAATATTTATTTTGCCAAGTTATTACTCTGTATTGTATTTATACAGAGTAATAACTTACCAAAGAATGAAACGCATTGACCTAAAAAGTTTTCTTCTTGTCTTTTCCTTTATTTACATTGTCTTTACAGATATATCTTATTTATATCTGAATTTTCACACACACACACACACACACACATATATATATATATATATATATATATATATATAGTCCCCTCCAAAACTATTGGAACAACAGAGACAATTCCTTTGTCTTTGTTGTTCATTGAAGACATTTGGTTTTAAGATGAATATGAGACAAGAGTTCAAAATTTCAGCTTTTATTTCCTGGATATTTAGATGTGTTAAGCAACTTAGGACATATCACCTTTTGTTTGAACTCACTGATTTTTCAAGAGAGCAAAACTATTGGAACACATGACTGACAGGTGTTTTTTGTTGTCCAGCTGTTGCCTTTTAGACTGATTGTTTAAACATTAAATAGCTCTGAGTGACTACTCTTGGTTTTTATCTAGGGTTTTACCTGTAAAGACTGCATTTCTTGTTAAAAAGGATAAACCAGCATAAAGACAAGAGAGCTGTCTATGGGAGAAAAACAGGCCATTTTGAAACTGAGAAAAGAAGGAATATCAATCAGAGCCATTGGGCATAACCAACACAACCACGGCAAAAGAAAGGAACTATAACGAACATAGAACAGGTCGGCCAAGAAAACAACAGCAGTTGATAACAGAAACAGTGTGAATAAGAGCTGTGAGGAAAAAACCCAAAACAACAGTCAGTGATATCACCAACAACTTCCACAGTGCAGAGGTGAAGGTTTCACAATTCACTCTTTAAAGAAGACTTTGAGAACAGAAATATAGAGCCCATACTACAAGATGCAAACCACTCACTCATCAGCAATAAGAATGGAAAAGTCAGATTGGAATTTGCAATGAAGTACAGAGATGAGCAACAAAAATTCTGGAAGAAAGTTTTATAAAACCAAGATCAATTTCTATCAAAGTGATGGAAAGGCCAAAGTGTGGAGAAAGAAAGGATCTACTTATGATCCAAAAGTATACAAGTTTATTCATGAAGCATGGTGGAGGCAGTATATTGTCTTGGGCATGCATGTCTGCTTCTGAAATAGACTCATTCATATTTATTAATGATGTAACTCATGATGGTAACAGCAAGAATGAATTCAGAAGTCTACAGAAAGATTTTGTCTGCCAATTTACAAAGAAATGCATTCAAACTAATTGGGAGGAAGTTTATCATGTAGCAAGACAATGGCCTAAAACATACTGTCAACAAAGCAAAGGATTTCATTAAGGGGACAGTTTTTGACTGGCCAAGTCAATCATTGGACCATAACCCAATAGAGTGTGCATTTCATCTCCTGAAAAGGAAACTGAAGGAAGAAACTCTTCGAAACAAACAAGAACTGAAATAGGCTGTGTTAAAAGTTTGGAAAAGCATCACAAATGAAGAATCACAACAGTTTGGTGATGTCAATGGGTTGCAGGCTTGATGCAGTTATTCCAAGTAAGGGTTATGCAACCAAAGATTAAATATTATTTACTTTAAGACTATCTGTTCCCTTACTTTTGCTCACCTAAAAATAGGGTGATCTGATGCAAATGTGTGTGTGTGTGTGTGTGTGTGTAGAATAGATATTTTGATTAATAAAATAAAGGGCAAATGAAAAGATATCAATATAGTCAGTACAATAAATATTTATTAAATATCAACCTTTATCAATGATCCAAGGAGCAAACAGAGAAATGTTTTTGTAGATAAGGTATTTTCCAGTGGAAATCATATTATGAGCATAACCAGAACTCTCTCTAATCACTCGATGTGCCAAACTTTTTATGAAAATAAACTTAAATTTTGATCAGTGTAAAAGTGCTAGGCTGGTCTCATGTTAATAGTGTGTGTCATGGGTGAGGAGAGGTGAGATTGTAAACATTGATGAAAAGAGTTATAGGTTGGGGAGGGGGAAAGATGTCTCATGAGTGAAAAGTTGTAGCAAAAATTGTCAAAGTGTTGAAAGCCGGGGAACTATGGTTGGAATATGTTGTGATGAAAAGGAAGAAAGAGAAAGGGAAAGAAAAAAAGGGAGAGGGAGATATATAAAATGAAATGAAACTAAAATATCATATGATGGAACAAAATTATTGATAAAAAACTGGAAATCTATTGTTAAAAAAATAAAAAAAATATTTTAATAAAATAATGGAAAAAGCACGTACATACATATGTGCACATAACTGTATGTACATACACACATGCCCACACACATACATATGTACCACCATACATGTATAAATATAAATACATGTACAAAATTAATATGTACCTTCACTAACCTTTCCCTCTCATTACATAAGCATGTATGTAAAGGAGCCTTAGTGATAGATTCTACAATGATATAAAGTGGGTGATTCCAATCAAGGTTGCAGGGCTGCTGTCTCGCATGTAGCGGGTTATTGCAAAATATTTTTCTAATTTTATTGTCTGGTTTTAAATACTGGAAATTTTTGGTTATGGTAGATGTTGTAATTAAAATAAAAGACGATGAGGATTCTGGAATTTTTTTTTTTTAGTTTCATAGGTAAGGAGAGTGTTTCTATTATGTTTGGAAGCCTTGATGATAGATTCTTTGATTGTTGTAAGTGGGCAATTCCTATTGAAAAAGTGATTGCAAAGTGAACAGAAGCATTTTATGTGCAAGTATTGGCTGTAGATTTTAGATTATTTTAGGGTGGTGTGATGACAGCTATCGAAATAGAGGTAGCAATGACCATCAGTAGGTTTGGTGTGTAGTGGAGATGTGGTTATAGCTGAGATATGCCCGTGTATCCAGAAATATAATGGAAGCAATAGAATATTCCATAGTAAATTTGATGTTGTATAGGATTAATACAAGTATATATAAAGGATAGGATAAAGAACTAATAGCAAATATTTATAAATCTAACATGTTTCACTTTTATTAAAGCTTCATCAGAGAACGAGATATGGAGGAAAAAAAGAAAAATTCTGGTATTTTTATTTTTGTGTTGTTTGATTTTATTTTTGTGTTGCTTGATTTTGATTCATCAAGCTTCATGTGCATTTGACTTGTTAAACAACTTTAGTATAATTTATGGTGTCCCAAATTCAAGGAGAGACAGCACATCCTTTCAATATTGCAAGAAATTAACTGATTTCAAGCCTAACTGAAAAAAACATAAATATTGCTTTATGTATATAAGTGTATCATAATTCTAGTTTGTTTATTTAATAAAAGTAGAACATGTTAGATTGATAAATGTTTCCTATTTGTTCTTTATTCTATCATTCTGTCGAACCAACAGACAAAACCTAAAACTCTTATCCAGATACACAATTCACAAATAGAACACAATACTGAAAAAAGGGAAAGAAAAAAAAACATTCTAAAAACAAACTTACTTACTCAGTAAAGTGCTTGAAGCTCAGATTGCATAGACTGGCAAAAAAATGCTTATCAACATTAAATCCTATGAAATCCTCTAGTCATAATTCGAGCTTCACACTCACACAATCTTCAGACAACTTGAACAGCTATATAAGCCATTAATGAATTTTTTTAATCCAACATATAAAAGTTATATTTAGTGGGTACATGTGTTTGAGTAGGCATCCATGTTTTTTCTCTCTTTTTTTTTCTTTCTTTTTCTAATCAGGTAAATTAACATCTTACCAATCTTATTAAAGAAAATGTGTTTTTCAACATGAATAAAACCTGTATTTTCATTAGCCTGGGAAACCAGCTTCAAACCATGTCTGCTTTACCAGTAAGCAATGGGAAGCCATTACAACAAAGCTAAGTTCAATTACACATTCAGGTGCAAAAATAATGTTAGCAGATATAGACTTTGAAAGGTCCCAACAAGAAACATGCTTTTCTTAAATAGGATGTCTGTCCAAACACATGGTGTACTCACTGAATATAATTTTTATAGAAATAAAATATACACAAACAAACACACACAAGGGGGTGATGAACAGTTCCCAAAATTTGATAAATGGCTAGACATCAAATTTTATGGTAAGAGGGCTTATTGGTTAGGTCGAGAACTTTTCAGCACCCCCTTGTATATATGTTTGTATAAATCTTTATAGTATTTAAGTATTTTTATTCTTATTTATTTATAAAAATTTTATTCCTTACCAAATCTAAGTTCTTGTGTCAAACATGGAAACTTAGTAGCAAGTCATAATAGGTGCAAATCAGAAAAAAAGACTCAACCACTGTGTAAGATTTTTAAGGAAAAACGTTAATTACACAATTATGAAAAAGATAAAATTTCTTTTTCTGCACCTATTAAGGCAGGATAACAATTTCTGATAAAAAGATTACCATCAAAAAATGGAAAAAAATATAGTTTGAGAAAAGACAAGGATTTTGAAAAAGACAAAATGTGAAAACAATTAAAAAAAGCTAAAAGATGCAACCACCTTTGAGAAAAAATGAAAAACCTACTTTTACTTGGCCCATGATTGTCTGGGACATATATTAATTTTTAAAAAGTCTCTTTTAAATTCACAGTTCGTGCTTGGAAAAATTTCTTCAAATTCTTTTTCATTCTTTGCTATCCAACCATAGGAGAAATTTTCACTTGAACTTCAAAATTCTTTCATCTCTTTGCAGTTGACTGGTAACTAGTGCCATCTTGATTCTCTCTTCTTGATGTCAAAAGCCTTCTGTTCCTTGATGTTGATTTGCCTTGTCTCCTTGCTGTCAAAAAATCTTCTCTCATCTACTCTTATTTATTCAGAAATTTAGGCCCACAGAAGGGTCCATCCGAGTTTTCACAAGAGCATGAGACCATGGCTCTCATTGGCCACAAAATACAAAAAAATAATTTTCCATAAACTGGAAATCTATCCTTCACAAATTTTGGCAGAGTCAAAAAACGTTGTACAATTGTAACAATCTTTAATACAAACCATTTGGCTTTCATAAAAATACACTTCTCTCAAAAGAATGTGTATTAAAAAAAACAACCTATACAATTAAATTTTTATACAATGCTAACATTTTTGAAATAGTAAAAATAAGATATTTTGCATATTTTCTGTTTGCCAAATATGATTTTAGATGATATAAATAATGTATAAAAACCAAAAATATCTATTATAAAACATGTTTCTTGTGTGTCTTTCAGTACACTGTCATCTTCCTTGGAGACTTCACCAGACATGAATCCAGCTCTGTCTTTGGAACCATCATCATTTGATCATAAGAATCCTGAAAGTGTTCCACAAGAGAAAATATCTAATGATGCTGGAAAAACTTGTGTTCCAATTATAAGTACAAAACCAGATACATTTCTAGATAAGCCTCTTAAATCAGGTAAGGAATAAATTAATGAAAACTTTATTCTGTTCAGGATTCCCTAAAAGTAAGGCCTCTCATTTATTTCTATGGAAACCCTAACAGATGCAGAAAGCACAATAGCACCATTTGGACAGAGCAGGTTTTCTGCTACAAAAACAAAGTTCTTATAATTTTTCCCAGCAATAATAACATCAACATAATGTTGCTTGTTTAGTCCATCTTTTATCAGCCTGAATATAGTTTATTGTGCATCATTGTTACAACTAATTGTTACACATTATTTACCATCTGTGGTCACAGCCACTGTTTGGTCACTGTAAACATTCAGCAAGCAATGATTAATGTCAATGGGTGCAATTTTTTCTGTATCAAGATGCCACACATTAGCTTCATAAAACCTTTTATCTCTACTGTTTGTGAGATGGCAAAAAGAAAAAATGTGTCATTGGTGGGAAAATTGAATTTCTATTGCTATACCACACACATCTGCTTCTGATGTTGTGAAATTATACAAAACTTAGCAACATTCTGCAATCCTTTCCAATATTGACAGTAAACAGTCTCTCTTTCAGGTGACCCTGTGCCATATTTGTTTGAAATAAACAAATGCTATACTTTAGATCTATCTGAATCATTGATCTCATTTTTGGTTGTTATTATTACAAGCATATTTCGGCCAAATAACTTGTGTCCATCTTCAGATGTCCATTTTGCTTTAGCTGATTATTGTTATTTTTGTCTGTTATGAAAATAGAACAATAATCAGCTAATACAAGATATCACCTTATCAACCAGAACAAAATGGATTCCTGAAGATGGCCACAGTGTACTTAGTTGAAACAGTGCATCTATAATAACAATTGAAGATAAAACAGCAGTATATTGACAATTCTTCATTTCAAGCAAAATAAAGAAATACTGTTTCACTATTCACTTCAACATTCACATATTGACAACATTTACAAATAAATAAATAAGAATCTAAAATTAATCTAAAAAATGGTTTTTCTTGTCTATTTTTGGTAAAATGATTTTATAAACCCTACCAAAATTAACCGAATAGTTTAAAATTGATATTGAGTGTTATTAATGTTTATGCTATGAATTAGACATAACATTATGAATGACAACTGGATGGAAACATATTTAAGATTTTTATATTCCTATTCAAACAGAATTATTTTTCAATAGTGTGTTTATATAGAATATAAATAAATTTGGTAATAAATATATATTGGTGTGTTTTGAACTGACAATTAGACCATGTTTTTTGTTTTTATACTGTTGGTGATTTTCTTTTCTACTTTGATCTTTCATTCTAGATCTTATCCCAACATTTAAATTGCATGATCAACAGTTGGCATCAATGAAATCACCAAGTGATGTTCCAGAGGAAAGAAAAGCATAGTAAGTAATTTAAAAAAAATAATTTCACTATTTTATTTCCATTTCGATTATTATATTCTCAATACTAGTGTCATATCACCTCCTACCATTACCAAGTGTGTAATCAGTGGTTCCCAAACTTTTTTCCTCTGGATTGAACTTTTGGAATGAAAATTTGCTCACACCTTACCAAATTATATGTAATAAAAAGTACATTTAAAAATAAAAAACAGAGAGAGGGTTAAAGAGAGATAACCGTGGATTGGACGTTCAGAAATATTCTGAAAGGTTAACTGCTAAGTTGAGTTACATCTGCATCCTTCTATGTCCAAGTCTCTCTTTTTTTTTACTGTCTTCTGTCTGCTTTCAGCACTTTGTATCTGTTTATATGCCAGTTTATTTTCTCACATCAGTTTATGAATTTCTTTCTTTTCTTTTTCTCTAATTTTCGAAAAGCGATGCTTCTCAGTGGTTGAATATTTATTTCTAACATAAGCTTGAGAATTTCTTTCATTGTTTCTCTAGTTTCCCCAAAGCAAGTCTTCTTGTTGGTTGAATATTTACTTCACACCAAGTCATGAATTTCTTTTCTTGAATTGGCAATTTCGTTAGCCAAGCTAAGGAAGTTTTATTATTTATTTGTTTATTTTTTGCTCTCTACAATAGTCATACTAATGGTATGAAAAAGATAAATAAATATAAACACTGATGAAAGATGGTTTGAATTTTGTGGTCTTCTTTAGAGCTAAAAATAATTTAATATTTTCATGATTTTATTTTTTACTTAAAATATTTTTATCAAGTATTTCTTATCATGGAGAAAGAAAAAGATGAAAGCAAAGACAACCAGCTGAAATTGTTCGTAAGGGGAAGGTGAAAAGTTAGGCAAGGTGTAACCAACAGAAATGTCACTAATGAAGACTGTTGTTAAAAGCAGACTAATATTAGTGTGATGATATCTATAGTTTTTGCTATAAAGATCTTAATGGTTCCAAGTTAACACCACAGAAGAAACCTTAGCCAACTCAAACCATGGTAGGAATGTATTTTTGATCACCAGTAACACAAGCTCAGAATGATAAATTTAATTATTGCTGAGGAAAATAAAAAAAATTTGTGAACTTTTAGTTTAGGGAGCTAGAGCTAGTACATTTTTTGTTGGTTTCAGCTCTGGCTCCACATCCCAGCTGAAAAGTTACAGAAGGCTACATGTGATGACCCAGAAGGCCACATGCAGCTTTTAGGCCACGGGCTCCCCACCCCTAACTGTCCGACTAGTTCATGTAATATAACTGAAAATGAAAACAGCATGTTTGGCAATGAGGATGAAAACAAAGCTGAAGTATTTAGCATTTCTAAGGATAAATTTTTCATTCAACACGCAGTTAAAAAAAAAAAATAATGGACAAGGGTGAGTCAAAATTTTAACCTACTTATGTACAGTAATGGATAAAATGCCATATAGTTGAACAATTTAACTAGAAAAATTGAAAATAAATACAATGTATCTAAATACAAATTCAAGGCATGTCATAATCATTCCATCTTAAATAAATTAACAATGTTTTGTAGCAATTTTTAACATTGACTTAATTAGTTGAATAATTTAACACATTCAACATTATGGATAAAAACTAGTGAATTTTATATAGTGTTTTTTTTTTTGGGGGGGGGGGGTTAACATATAAGGTTTCATCCTTAATAGTTAGTTGTACTTTGTTTATTTTGTAACATATAAGTAGAAAAAAAGCAAATATTGATAAGATAGCAAAGGTCACAAAGCACTGCCCTGAGCCCCCTAATCAGGCTTCCCCCACCCAGTCAGGGATTTCAGGGGTAGCATACATCAGCCCTGTAGTTACCACCTCTTTCAATTGTTGTGTTTGGCCAAAAACTACTGTACAAGCTGTAGTTACTGTGGTGTGGTGAGATGACCACACTCTACACATTTTCCTTCCAAACACTGTTATAGACAACCAAGGTGAACAAGAACATTATAATTTAGTATGCTTGCACAACAAAGTTCAAGGTCAATCTGTGCCAAGTGGCATGACTGTCTACTTTAGCTCCATTAGCATAGCAACAGTCCCGATAGTTTTTGATCAAATTTCATTTATTAGATTTGTTGTAATCATTAATATGTTTTTTGCTTTGTGTAGAATTTTGTGACTAATTAATTTCTCTTATGCTTTATTTTCAGCATGCTCCATTTGCAACAACGTATAAGTGCAAATGAACAATTGCAAGAAGAAATAGACATCCAACTGCAGAAATTGCAGCAAATTGAGAAAACCGGAAGCAAAAAGCCCAAGACATTTACTTGATATCAAATATGATTGTTCATTCATCTCATTAATATGAGAAAATATAGGTTTGAAAAGAATTATAGCCATTTTCTTATTCCATAAATATTGTCATGTGAATAAGTGTTTCTGACAATTGAAAGGAGAGGCATGCCAAATGTCACTTCAGCTTTTGGAGATTACAATAAAATTTTTAAGTAATTTTTTCCCCTAAAAGCCATTCATCTTGAACTCACCGTGATTTCCAACAAACCTAATGCTATCTCTATCCCATAATAGGTGTTATATTTAATATTCATAATGTAACAACTATTATGAGATAGAGATATTAATTTTTATTAATTCAAATTTAATACTTTTTCTAAAGAAAAATGTTGATTTGTTACTTTATTTCTTTTGGATGCAACATTTCCTTTCTTTTCTTTTGCTTTTAAGTGAATAATGTCAGTTTGTATTTGTTTGTCAGTTCATACATGTGTATGATTGCTTCATTCATAATTCATTTAAACATAAAATTGACTTGTTCTCAATCAAAATGGTAGCTTTAATGATAATCTTTCCACCAACTACTGAAGATTTGAATTATCTCCCCTGTCTCTTCAACCTCAATTGCACATTATGATTGAGAGAAATCTTTTAAAATTTGCCCTTTTCTTTATTATTGGATAATTAAAATGATTATCCAATAAAAGAGAGAATAAAAAATTTGAAAACAAATCCAATCATAATTTTTATCAGCAATGGTTGATGATAAAAATTATTATGATTGGATTTGCTTCACAAGGTGAGACCATTTTTTTTTCTACATACATGTGAAAGCATGTGATACCCTGCCTTCATCAGTCACCAACCAGGAGAGGTAAACAATTGCAGTACTGCCACTCCTAGTGCCACCATCACTTTTGCCACCAGACAGAGTATTGTTTTTTGTGCAGACATGTCAGTCTCTGTGATTTTATGCAACTGCAAGTCAGATTTTCAATGTTGTGTTAAAAATGTTTGCTTTTGATCGTTAAACAAAACACAATGCGCTTGTAGCGATCGTTATCAATGATGTAGAATGGCAGGTAAACAGATGTGTTTCACATCAGAAGTAGCATTGTGTTGCAAGCATGATTTTAATTAACTATGTTTGTTTTGGATCTTGACCAGATCCAACTTGATGCCTGTTGAGCTGTGGCCTGGTGATGATGTGAAACGCTCTTCAGGCACCAGCCAGTGATGCCCACCTTCAAAAGGAAGGAAACGAGTGACTGTCCAAGCAATCCACAGCACCCGACTTACCTCAATAGGTAGCACATGGCATGTCCACTCCTTTTCCTCATATAAACTGCATGCATTCACATTTTTTAAATTGTTTTTTTATACAATGAATTAGAGAAAATTCTCAGTCATTTTTGGTCAAAATCTATTTGTTTTAAAAGTAAATATATAATACTCAAAATATGTGGATATTGTCTGGTCTTGTTTTTTTTCTTTTGCTTCTAAAATTCTATTAAGATCAATATCTTATTTAGTTAAGGCCAGAAATCTTATTGATCACAATGGAAATATGAAACTATAAGAACTCATGAATCTTGTTTTAGTATAATAATGATAATGATTTTTATATAATTTTTTAATTTATGCAATAAAGTATTATAAGGTAATAATACGTTGACATTATTTTTTATGATGAGTACAGAGTCTTCAGGAAAGTATTGTAACTATTTACATTGTTCAGACTATTGTCCACATCTTTATTGTCATATTCATGACATTTTGTGCATTGTACGCCTCGGCCTTCTTCAGATAATATATGTTGGAATTTTGAACGGTACCCTTTTATTTCATCCTCCACATGCCATACCTTTTCTGTTTATCTCAGTTTCAATTATTTCCCTTTAGTAAATCAACTCTCCAAGTTTTTGTTCACAACTCTTTGTGTCAAGTCAGTGGTTTACTTCAATCAACACTTTTATTCACTAGGCCATGTCATCTTGGGGACATCTTTATGAATTTTTGGTACCTATAAACCTAATATCTCAATAACCAGTTTTTTTTTGTTATTGTTGCTTTTCTCTAGCTCTTTGTATTCCTGGTTCCCAGATTGTATTCATTTCTATGCTTGGCTGGCTTAAGAGATTTCTGTAGCCTAGCATATGCACTGATTCCTTAAGTTTTTGTATTTTCCAGTGATCTTCTCTGTCAATTACTTCAACCTCATCTCACAGAAGACTGTGATCTCCTTTTCCCTCCATATAGAAGAAGGCTGGAGCGTACAATGGCCAAAACATTGTGAATATGGCAATCAAGATGAGGACAATAGTCCTAACAATGTAAATAGTGTAAATAATATGTGAATGTTCTTAAGAACAAATATTAAAATTTTGATAAAATCAATCACATAAATGGAAATAAGTTACTGTTTTCTTTTTAATTCAAACTTTTAATTGATACTAACTTCAAAAAAACTAATTCTTAACATATTCACTATTACATTGTTATAGCATTTTTACCTGAATGTGCTGATTCCCATTTTGGAAAAAACAGAAAAATGCCATATACTAGAAATAAATGACTATAAAGATGCTGACGGTAATTTCTCATGGATGCTGCCATTTGGGTTTTGATCAGATACTGTGTACTACAGACTGAGCTAAAAGACAACCACAACACAATATAATAAAAATTCATCAAAAAATAGGTCATCTTATATGTTAATATGTATCTACACTGGTTTGGAAATAACACTAAGTGCTACTTTATAATATAAATGATACAGACTGACATTTCACAATGTCTTAAAAATGTGTATGTGTGTGTGTGTGTGTGTGTGTGTGTGTGTGTGTGTGTGTGTATGTATGTATATATATATATATATATATATCGACAGAAGGTGTATATATATATATATATATATATATAGTTATTAAAGAAATAATCACACATAGAATCAATCAGCAATATTAATGCTATTATTGGCGACATCCATCGATTCTATGTGTGATTATTTCTTTGTATATAAATTATATGCTGCCTGATGTTTTATGTTTATATATATATATATATATATATATATATATATATGTGTGTGTGTATATGCGTGTGTGTGATATTTTCATTATATTTGTCCTACTCATACAAAAATATTTATTTAACATTAGAAGCAAGTAATAAAAACTCATAAAATAAATTCAGAACATGACAGATACTAAAATTTATCAGATATGCCTGTGTTTTTACACAAACGGGTGCTGAAAATTTCTCAGCCCAAACAAGTTCATCTGAAAAAGATCTGATGTTTGATTATTTGGTCAAATGTTAGGAATTGGGTCAGACTGAGAACTTTTCATCATCACTTTGTATATAAATCACTTGATTCAGTATCTATCTATATGTAATTATTTTTTACATATTGAATTTTTATTATTTGTGTATTTACCACACAATATCATTTTAGAGATTTGAGATCGACTAAATTATTTCTTTCTGTTTTTCATATATTTATTTGCTTATTTATGTTAAAATGTTTTGAATGATTTATTTTTGTATTAATTTAAAGGATTCAAAATTAAAGACAAATCCATTCAATATTGAGCTTTTATTTTTAAAAAGTCTTTTTTTACTGTGTTTATTATTTTATGATAATTTTTTTTCCAAGCAAATTTGTGCTTGAGATTTTCAGCTAAACAATGTTCTACAGTTGATTGCATGAGTTGAGGTTTATGCTTCATGGTTGAATAAACCAGCTGTGATTTGATACCAAAACCCAGCTGGTGAAATAGGAAAATATCTTTCTATATCATATCTTATTTATCGTAATGGGCTAAACATCTGGGTAGAGCAACTCCAATTTGATGTCCTACAACTGGGTAGAACAGCTGAAGTTGATACCTAAAATCAGGAAGATTTTGTTAACAAGTCCAGACAAGCTGAAGTTGATGCCTTGTAATCAGGTAGACCAACTGAGGTTGAGATTAATTAAATCCAGAGATTAGAACAATCAATATTGCACAATGCAGGAGAGAGCAAACATCTTCAAAATATGTACATCAAACTTTAAAAAATCATTTGTTTTGATGTAACAAGGTCACAATTTTTTTTTTGTGTATGAAAGTTGCAAATAGTGATCTTCAGCAGTGAAAGTGTCAAGCTCACAGATTAATAAAAATGTTAATTAAAGCAGGAATCAATGGGAAGTTAAAGAAAGAATGGTTAAAAAAATAATTAAAATCATAAAATAAGAATGGCTTGGAACCAAGACTATAAATGCACATGATTCCTAGGTAACCCCAAAGGTCAAACATTTACCCAATGAAACAGGGAAAATAAACAAAATATAATTATCCTAAGGTGCTAAAAGAAATGATATATTTAACATTTATGAAATCAGTATCTATTGGCATAGCTTCATTGTAAAATATTAAAAACAAAGAACTGGGTCACTACTATTTACCTGAGATAAATTATTTTATTGGTTTTCATCCTCTTTGTTCTTTTTTCTGAGGACTCAATTTTCCTGGGTCTAGTAAGGAAAAAAATTCTAGGTCATAATAATGGAAATTTTGCATCTTGAAAACAGCTGCAAGGTTAACGGTCATACTCAATTCTCCATACAAACCAATGCTTACAGGAGGCAGAACAAGGCCACTCACTGTCCCCATTGGTAATGAAAACAGCAGAGCCAAAGAGGGGATCTCAGTGTTACAATAGAGAGAACTGATAAGAAGAGTCCATTAAGGGTAACCAAAAGTTGCAGTCAAGTTTGATAATATGAGAGTAAAAGTCAGCCATCAGTAGCAGACAGTTTTTTGGAATTGAAAAGTTGTGGAATGCCCAAAGCAATATTAAGATGTAATGACTGCAAGAGTGATTATTGTCCTATGGAAATATAGCTGAAGAACACACACAGGTTGTAAATACTCACATGCTAAAAGGCTGCATGGATTCACCAAAAGTATTCCATTTAGTTCTCATTTTTCATTTATCTTTTTAACTCTTCTGTCTTTTTGACATGAAGTAAATACACACTCTAGCAT